AGATCTTAAAATGCCCACAGGCAGAGTCAGAGACCTGAGAAGGGCCGTCCTTACCCAGCGACACCAAGTGGCTGTAGTTCTCCAGCATTACATCCCGATATAGGGTCCTCTTAGCAGGACTTAGTAGCTTCCACTCCTTCTGGGTGAAGGCCACAGCTACATCCCGGAAGGCCATTAGTGCCTGTAACACAAACATATCCCTGATCACACAGGAGACAGCCATGCCCACCAGCCAGCTGAAACCACTATCCAGGGCCACAGGCAGCAAGAAAGCTGGTGTGGGGCGCCCAGGTGAGATCCACAAATCCTGGTTTTACCTTGAGCCTTGGTGCCATGTGTTCAAGACTATTAATCTCCTTCCCACACTGCTGGTAAATCTATTTAGTTCCCTATTCTGTTCTATTGATCTCTATGTCTATGACGTCAAAAACACAGTTTTGATTGTGATAGCTATATGATAGACCTTGAAATCAAGTAGGCTGATTCCTTCCACTTTCTTCTTCATTTGAAAGGTTACTTTAGCTATTCTGGGACACGTGCCTTTCCATATAAATTTCAGAATAATCTTGTCTATAGTGACCAAAAAGCCTTGCTAGTATTTTCACGACATTCGCATTAAACCTGTATATCTACTTGGGGAAAATTGACATATTTACTACGTTGACTCTTCAAATTCATGAACATGATATGTCTCTCCATTTCCTGAGATGTTCTTTGATTCCTTTCATCAGAATTTTGTGGTTTTCAGCACAAAAATTCTGAATTTTGTTAAGAATTTCTGTTTTTAGGGGTCCGGCCGAGTGGCTCACTTGGTTAAGAGCACGCTCAAGAGTGTGAACTCCGAGTGACAGCGGTTCGATGCCCAGCCCGAGCTGAGCTGCCAACAGGTGGCAGGATGGGTCAGCTTAAAAAAAAAGAAAAGGATGTTGTTTAAAAAAAAAAAAAAAAGAATTTATTTCTTTAATGATTTTAATTGTATTGTATCTATTGTAATTTTTATGTTTCAGTTACAGTTAACATACAATATTAGTTTTAAGTGTACCCACCATTATTAGACATTTATACAACTTACAAAGTGATCACCCCCAATAAATCTAGTACCCACCTGACACCATACATAGTTACATATTTCCTATACTATACTTTGCATCCCCAGGACTATTTGTAACTACAAATTTGTACTTCTTAATTTTTTCTCCTTTATCACCCATCCTCCAACCTCCTCCCATCTGGCAACCATCAAAATGATCTCTATTTGTGAGTTTGTTTTGATTGTTCATTTATTTTATTTAGATTTCACATATAAGTGAATCATATGGTATTTGTCTTTCTCTAACTTATTCCACTTAGCATAATACCCTCTAAGGCCATCCATGTTGTTGCAGGTGGCACGATTTCTTCTTTTTGATGGCTGAGTAATATTCCATTGTATATGCACCACTTCTTTATCCATTCATCTATCAACATCTATCAACCTAAGTTGCCTCCATGTCTTGGCCATTTTAAACAATGCTCCAATGAACATATGGATGCATGTGTCTTTTCGAATTAGTGTTTTGGAGTTCATCGGATAAATACCCAGAGGTAGAATTTCTGGGTCCTTCTCTGTCTCGTTTTAAAGTCTATTTTGTCTGGTGTAAGTATTGCTATGGCAGCTTTTTTTTCCTGTTTCCATTTTCATGAAATATCTTTTTCCATCCCTTTACTTTCAGTCTGTGTGTCTTTCCATTTGAAGTGAGTCTCCTGTAGGCAGCATATATTAAGAGTCCTGTTTTCCTATCCATTCAGCCACCCCACGATCTTTTGATTGAAGCATTTAATCCATTTACATTTAAAGAAATTGCTGAGAGGGGCTGGCTGAGTGGCGCGATGGTTAAGAACTGGCTTGGGACGCCAGAGGGCCCCAGTTCGGATCCCACATATGAGGGCCAGTGACACTGCCCTCTACAGCTAAGATGCTGAACAACAGCTCAACCTGGAGCTGGGCTGCCGTGAGTTGCCGGCGACGGCGTAGGCTGCAGCCCCTGTGGCAGTGGGTTGCCATGGGCTACCGTATGAGCGTGAGCGGCCAGCAGCTGCCATGAGCGGCCATCTAGAGGCTGGCAACTGACCTGCCTCGCCTGGGAAGAGCGCAATGATGGTGCCAACTTGGGCCAGTGAAGCAGCGTCCTCCACAACTAGACTGAAGAACGAAAACGACAGCAACTTGTCTGTTCCCCTTCCTCCAATTCCCCAGCACTGTTCCCATCCTCCCAATTCCCCAATAAAAATCTTTAAAAGAAAAAAAAAATTGTTGCGAGATATGTAGTTACTACCTTTTTATTATTCATATTTTTTTATGTTTCTTTTTCTTTCTCTCCATAAAGAAGTCCCTTTAACAGTTCTAGTAATAATGGTTTGGTGGTGATGAACTCTAACTTTTGTCCGGAAGCTTTTTTTCTGTCCTTCAATTCTAAATGATAGCTTTGCTGGGTAAACCAATCTTGGTTTTAAGTCCTCGCTTTTCATCACTGAATATTTCTCACCAATCCCTTCTGGCCTGCAAAATTTCTGTTAAGAAGTCAGCGGACAGTCTTATGGGAGTTCCCTTGTAGGGAATTAACTGCATTTCTCTCGCTGCTTTCAAAATTCTCTTTGTCTTTAACCTTTGGCATTTTAATTACAATATGACTTGATGTGGGCCTCTTTTGAGTTAATTTTGTTTGGGGCTCTGTGCTTCCTGGGCTTGTATCTCTATTTCCTTCACCTGGTTAGGGGCGTTTTCTATCATTATTTCTTGAAATGGGTTTTCAATTCCTTGCTCTCACTTTCTTCTTCTGATATCCATATGATGTGAATATTGGTATGATTGATGTTTTCCCAGAGACCCCTTAAACTCTCATTTTTTTTGGATTCTTTTTCCTTTTTTGCTGTTCTGATTGGATGTTTTCTGCTATCTTATGTTCCAAATCACTGATTCGATCCTCTGCTTATCTAATCTACTGTTGATTACCCCCAATGTATTCCCCATTTCAGTTACTGTATTCTTCATTTCTGCCTGGCTTTTTTGTATCTCCATTTTTATATTTCTATCTCCTTGTTGAAGTTCTCCCTGAAATCACTGAGTATCCTTATAACCAGTGTTTTGAACTTTGCATCTGGTAGATTACATTTTGTTTAGTTCTTTTTCTGGAGCTATGTTCTGTTCTTTCATTTGGGATATGTTTCTTTGTCTCATTTTGGCTGCCTCCGTGTTTGTGTCTATGTAGTAGGTAGAGCTGCTATGTCTCCTGGTCTCGGTAGAGTGGCCTTATGTAGTAGGTGGCCTGTGGGGCCTAGTGGCACAGTCACCCTGTCACCCAAGCCAGGAGCTCCAGATGTGTCCCTTGTGTGGGTTATGTGTCCCTCCTGTTGTAGTTGAGTTTTTATTGCTATTGGCACATCAATGGGAGGGATTGCCCCTCAGGCTGATTGGTTGCGAAAACCGTCCATGACCACAGTGGAGGAGCTGTTGTGCAGGGGCTGACCATACATACAGAGCAGGATTTGCTTTAGTGGTTCTCTGGTGCCTGCTGAGTCTGCCCTTTGGGTGTATCATTTGTGGAAGTGGTTGGATGGTGGTCTGAAGCTGGCCACAGAGTGTGTTGGTTTGGGCCCTCTTAGGAAGGCCAAGTTCAGCTCTTGCCTGTGTCCTGCCTGGGGTCACCTGGTATGAGCTACAAAGTGATCTGCAGATGATTCCCACTTGTGCTGGGCTTGGAGGAGAGGCTAAGCTGCCAACTGAATGTGGCTGCCACTAGTGTCGGGCTACTAGTGTCGGGCTTTGCACTGCTACACAAGAGGTACTGCTTAGCAATCACACTGAGGCCAGATGCTGCTTGTTTGGGGTTTGTGAACCTTTGAGAGGTTTTAGAAAAGTTCATAGCATGAGCCAAGGCAGGCCACTTGTATAGAAAAGTCACTTAAAGCTGCTTGGGTGGGCCAGCAAGTTGGGTGGGGCAGAGTCTCAGGGAATCACCAGGGCGGGAGAAACCATGTTAGCTAGGTTGATGGAAACTCAGATATAATGCCCCCCTGCATATGCAGGCTGGGTGGTGGGAATGCTTAACAAAGGAACAATGGTTTCTGCCAGCACTTCTGTCAGGAAGAAAGCTGCCCATCCAGTACTCTCCCTGAAGCCAAAGAATTCAGTTCCTCCTTGTAAGTCCGTGGCACCTTTTGAGCTGCTGCCCTAGTGCTGCAGCTTAGAGCAAGTGACTCCATTAGCAAGTAAGTCCATGTATGGGCCCATGAAGAGGAATGCCTGACACTCCAGCAGCCCTCCATCTCACTCAGCCACACTCTGCACTGGTTTTCCCAGCCAGAGGTTATGGGGACTTCTTTCCCAGGCACTAGAACCCTGGGCTGGGGGGTCTGGTGTGGGGCTGGGACCCCTCGCTCCTCACAGGGACTCATGCAGGAGAGATATCCATCCTGAATTTTAACCACCACACGTGGGTGTGGGATCAGCCCATTTCATATCTCTACCCCTCCTGCCAGTCTTGACATGGCTTCTTCTGTGTATCTTTAGTTACAGGACATCCATTCAGCTAATCTTCAGGTATTACCAAAGAAACACAAAAGAACAAGTTTGGCAGGGTGTGGAGAAACTGGAACTTCTGTGCATTACTAGTGAGAAAAATAAAATGTGCAGTTTCTATGGAAGAGTTCAGCATTTCCTCAAAAAGTTAAACATACAATTTACCATAGGACCTTGCAAAGAACTGAAAGCAGGGAGTGAAACAGATACTTGTTCACCAATGTCCATTACAGCGTTATTCACAATAGCTCAAAGGTGGAAACAATCCAAATGTCTATCAAGAGATAAATAAAGAAAACAAAATATATATACACAATTGTTTATTTTTTTTCTTTAGTGAACCTTTTGTCAACATATGATGTCCTTCTTAATATTTTATAAACTTTTCTTGATTTAAAGTCCACTTTGTCTTATGCTACAGTTATGTCAGTTCTCTTCTGGTTACTATTTGTATGGAATATCTTTTTCCATCCTTTTACCTTCAACCTCTTTATGTCTTTATAGCTAAAGTGAGTCTTTTAGGTAGTGTGTGTATATATATATATATATAGATAGATATATATATCTCTCTATATCTATCTATCTATCTATCTATCTATCTATCTATCTATCTATATATATCTTGGTTTGTTAATCCAGTTTACTAATCTGTGCTTTTTGATTGGGGAGTTTATCATATTTACATTTAATGTGATTACTAAAAAGTAAGGATTTACTTCTGCCAACTGGCTATTTGTTTTCTGTGCCTGTATGTCTTTTGTTCTTCAATTCCTCCATTAATGCCTTTTTAAACATCTATTGATTTTTCTTTCACTTTTTTTTTTTTTTTTTTAGTGTAACACTTCTATTCCCTTCTTTCCTTTTCCATACATTTTTTAGTATTTTCTTAGTGGTTGTCTTGCAGATTACAATTAACATGTTAATCCTGTAAAAATCTACCAACTTAATTCCAACAGTATACAAACACTTTGCCCCTATATTTTTCCACTCCTCTTCCCTTGTTTTGTAATTGTCACAGATTATATCCTTATACATTGTATACCTATTAACAAAGATTTGTAACTTTTATGTTTGCCTTAAATTATAAAATTTAAATTATAAAATTATTAAAAAAGCAAACACTAAACCAAACAAAAAGTATAATGATACTGGCTTTAATATTTACCTATAAAGTTACCTTTACTACTGTTCACTTTTCTTTCTTATGGTTTAGAGTTACTGTCTAGAGTCCTTTCATTTCAGTCTGAAACATTTTTGTAGAGCAAGTCTACTCTTAATGGTTTTATCTGGAAACATCTTAATTTCTCCTTCATTATTGGCAGTTTTTCTGTTGACAGTTTTTCTTCCAAGACTTAAATATATCATCCCACTGACTGGTGTCCTCCATGATTTCTGATGACAGCAAGTCAGCACCCTCACCTTTACACAGAGAAAACGAATGTGACCAAAGGCCACTGGCTACTCCAAGCTTCCCATATGGTGGGGGATAGCGTGCTAGTCACCCAGTGTCTGAGCCTAAGCTTCCTGTCCCATTCCCACAGGAATGCCTTCCTTCAGCTTTTCAACTTGTGAAATCCATCAGGGGCAGCTCAGACAGCCCCTCCCTCAAAAGCCTTCCTTCACTTTGGTAGGCCCTGGGAATTGCTTGATACATAAGCATGACTGTGCTATATTTGTATTTCAATACAAAAATGTTTACTACTTGCTGAATACCTAAGTCATGAATGAAGCAGAGGAGTCTGAGAAAAGGCTTCAAATAAGACAGGCCTTATCCGAGATCAGGGCTAGAATACCAGCAAGGCAGCTCCAGGACAAGGAAAGGTAATGGTCTATCCTGCAGGAGCTAGAAAGAAATTTCAGGACTCACCTCATCCCTGGTTGTCAGGAGCCCTGGAGCCATATTCCTGGCCTGTTGAGTGGTCTTCCTAGAGAACAGTCAAGTTGCAGAGGCAGAGCTGGGGGAAGAGAAGAGAAGTGAGGGGATGCTCAGCAGGAGTACCCTTCCATCCAGCCTCCCCGTTCAGCAGGAGTGAGGGGAGATATGGAACACAGGTTGCAGAGAGCATCAGAGAAGCTCATTTTAACCAGTGTCCTGTAAATAAGTCTCCCAGAGCTGGACCAGCAGCAGGCTCAACCCCAATGTCCAGTTGGGAAATGAAGCCCCCAGCAGCTAGGTGAGATTTTATCACTGTGTGTACTCTAATAGAGGAAAAAGACCCCAAAGTGGCCACAGGTGAGCATTCATGTTGAGAAATAAAATGACTTACCATGAAAACAGAAACTCCCCACCCACATCTGCCCTGAGGTCAAAGGACAAAGCCCAGGAAACTCAAAACAGAAAGTGCTATAGGCTCCACAGATTGTAAATTTGGTTGTCAGGAGCTCTGGGGCCATATTCCCAGCCTGCTGAGTGTTCTCAGGGTGTATGCCAAAACCTGGTTTCAGTCTCCTCCACTTATATATCCAAGATTAGGTTCCCAAGATTTGAAACTTAAGAATGTGCAGTCAGCAAATGACCCAGGTCTTCAACAAATCAATTACATAAAGAAATGTTTAAGAGGTGAGATTTTCCCTAATAGAAAGCTACTTAGAAGATAAACCATTCTTCAGATGTCATCTATAGGCCTTGTTTGCACAAATGAACATTTGGGGGACTATGAAAGACAATTCAGTATCAACTGGGTATTAAATGGTGTTAGAGAATTATTGTGAATATTGTTAGGTGTGATCATAATATTCTGGATATAGAGAAAAACGAGTTAAGAAAGTGAAGTACTGGTACATTGATACAATGGAGTACCACTCTGCTATAAAGAAGAATGATATTGTACCATTTGGGATGATATGGATGGACTTAGAGACTATTATGTTAAGTGCAATAAGTCAGTCGGAGAAAGATAAATACCGTATGATTTCACTTATATGTGGAATCTAAAAACTGAATGAACGAGGAAAGTAAACAGAAGTGGTCGCAGAGATATAGAGGAACAACTGATAGTTGCTAGTTGGGAGGGGTGGGGATGAGGGAGAAGGGGAAGGGGTTAGACAGCATAAATACATAAGTACAATATTGCCACAGGGACATGAATGACAGTTCAAGGAATATAATTAATAATGTTGTAAATATTTTGTAGGGTGTCAGATGGTCACATGTCTTGCTAGGGAGACCGCATCATGGATGGGGTAGAGGCTTGATCACTGCATTGTACACCTGAAGCTGATGTTGTATAATATTGTATGTCAACT